TGGTGTGAAAGCCTGCTGTAGACCTAGGCCCTAAGAGTAGACCTTAGTCACGGCATGTTTAATGCGAGTGCCTGATGTTAGGTGAGAGAAAATTGAATCAATGGTCTTTTTCCGTTCCGTTCCGAAAAATACAGATCAGGGGTATAAATCTGTATTTTGCGGAACGGAACGGAACATGATTTATTTTTGATCCGTTGCGTTCCGCAAAATACAAATAACCGATGAGCACTTAAACAATCAACAAATCCAAAGGAGGTCTATTTGAATTAGTGCAGCGGGTCCTACATATCATAATGTGAAGTTTGAACTTATTTTAATGAAAGGTATCTACCAGTAGGTAGGTCACATTATGTAAATCAGCATTTTCCCGCCTAGCACCAATGTTTCGTGCTCAAGGAAGGGTGTTACTTTGTTTTAAGTTGAAATTTATTATTTTCGTCTTTTCTATGCAGGATTTGATTTGTAATTATCTTTTAGTTTATGTTGATGTTGCATATCATTTATAATATTGATTTCTTTTGATTACTGACAGTTTTATTTTTCATGTTGTATGTTAGCACTTGTCATGCCGTTGCCCACAGACCAAGATGACATTTAAGTAACCTGATGTTACAGCGATCTCTACAACTGGTACAGGTCTGCCATTTCTACTGTGCTGTGAATAGGTTCATAAAGTGTGTCCTCAAGAGGTTCGATATAATTATGTTTCAAGTAAATCCATGCCTATAAAGGAAAACATAAATCAAAATGTTTTGCTCGTCAGTAAGTGGGTATAAAATCCCAGCCGACCAGCAGCGCCAACTTCTTCATTCAAACAACCAAACGATAATGATGCTGACCAAATATCTGAAATTCAAAGAGCACACCTTTCTAGCTTTCCTTGGCTAGTTTGAAATATTGAGATTATCTAAACAAACAAATGATATTCTAATAAGTTTGAAGCAAAAAACAGCTTGCAAATACAAGAAACAAATTTTTATATATAATTATCTACAAAGAGGTTAAAGACGAAGATATTACAAGGGAGATAATAATGTTTTCTGTGTAAATTGAAATATCAGGACTGACTCCATTAATATTTATTTGCCATCTGTTTCCATGCTTAATCTCGAAATTCAACCTTCTATAAGGTTTTTTCCGGAAATTTCGTTGAAAACTTTCCAATATTTCACATGAAAGCCTGGCCAAAACTTAGTTTCTTGACAAAAATTCAATGTACCATGGTTATGAAAATTTGGGCTAGCCAAACTTAAAGTAGACCACTACATTTTATCAACATGCGCTTGACTATCACTGCACACAAAACGACTATTTTTAGAATAATTCATGTAAATCTATCATAATCTCACTCTAAATCAAATGCCAAATCTAGACCAAAAATAGGAATGCAAAAACCAAAAGGGAGGGAGAAAGGGGACTACATTCATACAATCATTTGCATAATACAATCATTTGCATAATACAATCATTATACAATCATTTGCATAATACAATCATTAGCATAAAATGTTTTGACAAAATGTTTTACTGGGATGGGACAATCAGCTTTAAAAACATGTAGTAATGGGAGTCTAAAATTGTCTTTTGGTTGAAGGAAATTCCACCCTACGAAAATCTCATCAGGCTTCTGTGAAAATTTCCAGACGGTATAAAATAATCATTTTCATAAATTTTACGTTCTTTTGAAGATGGACAACACCATACAGGAGAGAAATTAAGGTGCATTAGCTTTTTTTTTAATTTCAAATATAAAGGGATCTTTAATGTGCATTGCATGTAGCACATTTTCGAGGGAAATTTCGGGGAGAGAAAGTATAAGTGAGTGATCTTCAAATTTAAATATCAAATCTCAATGATCCCAAAGACATTTTAAAACCAATCATATGTTAGTGGACATTTTATCTAAAGTTTTCCTGAAACGATTGGAAAAATTCAATTCAGAAACCACTGTGGATAGAAAGTGTTATTAGTCAACCTTAATCATCACTGTCTTGCTTATATATGGTACTTTCAATGAGTGAATAACATATAAAAGGACAGGATATGTTGTTTATCTGGGTGTTATGTGAATAAGTCAAATATGGTTATAACATTATTAAACAAGACATCATTATGTCATTGGACTTTTAGGAACTGTAAAAATAGCGATGCAATCGTAATACGCCCACATTTGTAATGGAAGCTAATTTGTCCGGGAGGTTGACAAGAGTTATCAGTAAATGAATGTTTTTGAGAATGAAATTTTCATATTTCATGGGTTTTTCTTTACAGCTTTTTTATTCAAGTGGGATTAATTGAACATGTCAAGTTTCATTTAATCCAAATCTAATTGAATCAGCAAGTGGCAAATCTTTGTGTTAAGACAGTTATATATTTACAGACAGACACACAGACACACAGACAGACAGGGGAGATGACTATATACGCCCACATTAATGGGAGTATAAAAATGGATAATATACAATTATAAGTTTGGGCTTGGCATTGCTCGTAATTATGTTTATGTCTTACTAAAACATTATGATCTTTATATCGCTGGTTACTACATAATTATCATAGTTTAATAATTTAGCCCTTTTCGTATCATTTAGTAATTGATTCATTAATAATTAAGAAGTATGACTAATTGTAAGGGTTTGTCGTTCACGTCCTATCAATAAATGTTTTTTTAAGATCATTAGCACACGGAGCAAGTTACTTGTTATTTCATGGCTTTAGCACGCATAAAACTATTCGGTCATGTGATATCAGAAAATTTCTCGTTACGATGAAAGTTATATTGACTATCTTTTACAATGTGACACATTATTTCTGCTGTGGTGGGCGTTTTTTACTTTGCCTGGCAAACGTTTCTTTCAGTTTGCAGAGCCATCAACTTTCTCTTCAAAGGTATATTTTGTAAACTGCCAACTGCTTTCATTCTTTACAAGAAAAAAAGGGAGTCTCTGTTTAATTTCAGTTGTATGCCGTGGTAATTCGTCGTAATTGAAAACTGCTTCCGCTATCATTTGTAATTTAGAGGCAATTTCCTCTGCATTTCCATCTTAATAATGACCCCAAAGGGTTATGAAATTATGTATAATGTACATTGGATATATGTTTCTGAACTAAAATGAATTTTTTTTAAAAGGATAACATTTCATGCTCATAACTGTGGAAGGAAAACGACTACGATTGAGACGAAAGTGCATGCATATCTTACAGGGGACAATCTGGACGTCCGTAGTCAAAAGGATTAAAACAGCCAAATACGGATTTTGGGCTCATCTCCCTTTAAAACAATTTTATAGTAGGCAAATATGAGTAATTGATTATCATATAATAACCAATGCATAATTTTTATATTACGTCCAAACCCCCATGTTTATCATAAAGTTATGCACGGTTTAAAGGGATGCAAGAACGCACGTAATGTGCATTATATAGTGAGTGAGCATTACATAGTAATATTTGCCTTAGGCCACATGAAGAAATATCGCATTATAATACAGATAATTTGTTCAAGGAGGATCTATTCTTCAAGAGATGATTTGGTGATACTTGATTTGGAGCCATCAGAGGCTTTAAAGTCAGACAATAACCAAGATGCGACAGGATCAGAAGTCTGGTAGAATCTAGTTGATAATCAGGATCAGAAGTCTCGTAGAATCCAGTTGATAATCAGGATCTGAAGTCTGGTAGAAACCAACTGATAATCAGCATCAGAAGTCTGGTAGAAACCAACTGATAATCAGCATCAGAAGTCTGGTAGAAACCAACTGATAATCAGGATCAGAAGTCTGGTAGAAACCAGTTGATAATCAGAATCAGAAGTCTGGTAGAATCCAGTTGATATCCAGGATCAGAAGTTTAGAAGAAAGCAACTGATAATCAGGATCAGAAGTCTGGTAGAAACCAATTGATAATCAGGAGCAGAAGGTAGTTGCCGAGCGTGGTCAGAGAAGTCTACTAAAATGCCATCCTCGCAAACAGAAAAGATAGACACAAAAATTCATAGCAACTCCAAGTTTCACAAACATGAAATTCTGAATTTTGTATTGCAATAAAATAAATCTATAATATCCCTTTAACTTTGAGTAACCTGAATATGGTGAATAATACGTGGGTCTAATTATGTCTACTACTATTATATACGCATATAAATGAATACGAATTTACTTACAAATTGTTTTTTACACAACGTTAAACATGAAAATATCACTGCTGCTTTCCATTGTAGTAAGTTGTTTTTCTTACTTTTTTTCTTCTTGGCGCTTATTCCATGGACAGCTAGAAGCTTATATCGATTAAAATGGGTTCCTTGGTCGGATCGTGAAGGACCATTACATCTCAATTCCTTTTTGTATTCTCTACAAAGACAAATTGATAAAGTATGTTTCCTTGTAGGTTTGTTTATTGTTTATGATGGTTCTTAATCGCATTCATGGTAAGTAATACCCCCATTTCACCTTGAAGTCGTCCGTGAAGGCCGAGCTGCGATCCCAGAGCGTGGCTTGGTCGCCGCAGGTCGTACACATTGGGCGGTTGACTGAGGGTTGGTCACGCCTTGATCTTCGATCTAAAAGCCGCACAGAGAGCGTCGAAAGAGCGAACAAGATCGAGGAAAGGGCGCATTGGTCGAGAGACAGTCGAGGTTAGAACGGGGATGAGCGAAGCTCAATCTTGGCGAGCGAGACCTGTGCTCTTTTGCGATCAAGTCTCGCTCAGCGCAACCTGTCCCAGACCTTCTCTCGCTTAATTTGCGACCTACGCGAATCTCATATAAATAGGGCTCAGCCAAGCAGGGGTTATTTCACGCCACACCATTCAGGGCCGAGTTTCACCGCCATGTCATTCGACCCGACCAGATCTAACGAAGAATCAACAACCAAACCAACAACACCGAATCATCCAATTTGATCCAATCCAACTACCAACTACTACGACTACCAACAACTACCTAGTTTGCGATATCAGCATCCGCTGCGGTCTATATCTTACTTCGCTGAGCTACTTTGACAATGCCAAAGAGAGGAAAAACCAGGGCAGCCAACCCAAAAAAGGAGGCTGCTCCACTCAGGGATCCATCCGCTGGACAGGAATCCCCATCTGATGATGTTGAGGACATCCCCAATAACATACCGGAGGAGAACCAGGAGGAGTCAGTGAAGCTGACAGATGGCCAGGAGGATCAGCTAGTTGGCCTCATACAGGACAACGCCAACCTATATGACAAGACAAACAAACAGTGGCTCAACAAAGAGGCTCGACGTCTGGGACCCACCCTAGCCAACTGTTCGTCAAACATCTCTGGAGCCAGCCTCAGGTCTGTCACGAGGGAGTAGTACTGGCAATACTGTTCCCTCTGACGTTCACGAAGCAAGGGAGAAACCCAATATGTCTTCTTGGTATACTTCTTTCTCCTCGTCTTCAGCATGGTAAGCATATGCAGAGAGTCTTGCTGCAATTGCAGGACATGGTGCTGTAATAAGATAGTATGATACAAAGCGATTGGGTCCATATCTTCACTTCGGAGGCTGGTCAAAAACTGGTGGTCGGCTACTGATCGCCAGGTCTTTTTATATGGTTGCAGTGGTGTTCGCACACAAATCCGAGCGATCTTGACAAATTTGCGCGTAGCTCGGGCGAGAAGATGTCTAGGGAAGATTGAGAATTGAGCATCTTAATCGCATTGATCGAAGGTACGTGGCAACTTGTACGTAGCTAGATCGGCCAAGATTGAGCCTTGATCTGCCGAGGCCGCACACTTGCGAGAATATATCGCCGAGAGATCGACACTATGTCGCAGATAGGTCGAACGGAACGAGCATCAGAACGCATGGATAGACGAAAGTATAGCGTATGTAGAGCGTAAATAGGACGCAGTTAGAGCGTACACATCGAGAGTAGAATGAAATAACATCGAATATTGAGTGTACGCAGAAAAAAAATGGATTGGTCGCACAGATTTTGCTCACGACTACGGGAAAACCAAGCTGCGATCATAGTCGCACGTGGTTGCGTGCGATTTTCCCAGATTGTACTCGGTGAAATGACCCCTTAAAAGAATACAAAAGCAAACTGTTTAAAAAATAAAATTAAGAACAATTTCATTCGAAAACAAATCGTTTATCACCCTATATCCACTCTTGTTCACTGTAAAGTTTTCATTAAACCTTTTAGTTGAGACGAGAGACACCACAAGATAGTATTACTAGAGGGTACCAGTATAATCTAAAAGATTAGGACAATTCAGTACACTTATCTAGGATTTTATAACCATTATTCTTGAATATTGTAGGTTTTGGAAATAGATGTCCTTCAGTCAATATTGGTATGTAACTTTCTTTTTATACGCCCACATGAAATGGGGGGCTTATATTGTCGTCACCCATGTCCGTCCGTCCACAATTGCTCATAAACACTCTACAAGGCACAATTCTTGACTGATGTTGACGGAACTTGGTGTAAGGATGAACCCTATTTAAAATCATAAAAATCGAAAAATATTAGTATGAGTTATTGCCCTTGTTCTTGAAGCGATCGTAAACACTCTAGAAGGTGCAATTCTTGACGGCTTTTGATGAAACTTGGTGTGAGTGTTTGTAATCACCCAAGGATGAACCCTATTTAAAATCAGAAAAATCGAAAAATAATTAGTATTCTATTATAGAACTAGTTATATGCACGATTGGGACTGAATCGCTGACATGAGTTCCCCTAGCCGTACTAGACAGGAACGTTTTTAGATTTTTCTTAAAGATAAAAATCACAGTTCAGATGAAATATTTTTCCTAAGGACGGATGCAAAGTAACAGAAAACCCGCTTGGTTATTCTGTGGCAAACAAAGTGCAATCAGATGATACTATATACAACATAATATTATAAATAACAAAATAATTTGACTGTTTAAATAGTGATCAATAATCAATAATTGTCTGCGATATAAACCGCGTTTTCACTGAGAATTGTAAAATAAAGCTATAGCTCTATAGAGTCTATATTGCCGAACACGTTGTGTTTACACTAAGTTTAACTGGTGCCCGAACGACTTTAAGCTTCGATCACCAAGTCGCACATTTTTGACAACTCGTGATGTACAAGACTACCGTTTAGACCAGTAAGAAATGCAATAGACCGGAAAGACACAGGAATATGTCTAGAATAACATACCAAAAGTCCTCGTTAATCTGTTAACGCGTTTCTTCGTAATCCAAGATGGCGGCCAAACGGCCACCATTTCTCTAATTTCTCATTACTTTGCAACAAGATAACCCAAATAAAAATTAAACTTGTTTAAATATATGTTTTTAGCTTAAGAAACTACACTTATTTATAATTTTTGAAACATACAAGTAGATATAAAACGACCTTCCAAAATATCATATCAATGTCATGGACCCTAACTACTCCCATTTGGATTCTTTGAAGTAAAAATATTTCTATTCGTATGATTGTTGACTTGTCCATGTACTTAGAAGTATTTCGATGCATTTATAAGCATAGAGAAACTTTTCAAAATTCATAGACACCACTGGCAACTTATATAAACTATGGGGTACTAATTCTAGAAAATTATTGCAACAGAATTTGCAATCGATTTTGACAGAAGAGGAAAATAATAAAAAGGTTTTAGAACGGATGCAGAACAGCGAGGCAAAGCATAAGCTTGAACTTTTGATACAGTTGTATTTGGGGAGAAGGGACAGTGTCTACTAACAGAAAATCTTTATGTCTTGGGGTAACGATGTCTGATAGTGTAAGAAAAGCGTGTGATCTGGTTGTAACAGAAGCCATGTATCCCCAAGCATGTGATCAATCTTTTCTTCAGAAGGACACTGAGGAAAATACAACTGAAAATATTTCAGAATATATGTAAGATCATGGTGATGAATGCAAAATATTAGTTCTGTATGGTGAGTTTCTGTTAATTCAGCACATAAAATACTTCATGAAAATAAAATGGACAGTGAAAGAATATCAGATGCCGAGAATCATAGCACTTATAATACTAGATTGGGAACAACTGTCAATTGTTACAGATATGCTGCAAAAATCGTGTCACACTATCTAACATTCTCGAAATTCAGCATGCCATAGTATAGACACATATGAGTTATTCATGCTGTAACAGTGTATGATTCTGTCTCTGTAATCTATCATTAGGGCAAGAGAAAATATCAACATGGTCAAATAGAAAAGACACTATGACTTGCTTGGTACCTTCACAGATCCATTATTTATTATAATGCAGAGTCAAAAGTTTCCAATCTTTAACGTCACAAAGCACCTTGGCAGTTGGTCTCTTAGTTTATTTCAACTAGAAAGTCTACCTCCGACTAGTGTTACAGCAAAGTAACATTTATCTTACAGTCTGAAAGGATAACTCTTTACCTTCAACAGACCGGGTATAGCGATTTTACGCCTCTCGAGACACACCCTTAATCCAGGTGGTTGCAGAAGCATGACATGAAGCTGAAAGAAACTTTGATTCTTTGCCACCATTCCGTGCAGTAGACGGAGTGGCCTCACCAACACAAAAAGTACCTTGACAGCATCTGACAATTATGATAATGAATGATGTACCACAGAAGTCTTGTTCTTTAAATCCATTTATTTTTTCCAGAATATGAAGAAAACTGCTGGAATTATAACTTCTACTCTTATCATTTGTGAGCTTCTTCGTTTCTTGAACTCAATTTTAAGTTTTTAACCCTCTGAGCTGTCTCTAATAATTTTCAAGCTTCCTTGTTTCTCGAAACAAGCTTTACATTTGTTACTTGAATTCAGATGATATTACAAAATAGTAGGACATCAAAATGTTTAGTTTTGTTGGTGCTTCGATTTAAAAACAATCTCTGAATAATAAGTTATTGTATTAGTTTCTTGTATCTCAAAATTTTTATTCGTACACTTTTTTTCTGTTTTTGGGTAACATTTTAAACGCCATCTTGGATTTAGGAAAAAGGTCTGAGAGATTTATATGGACCTAAATTATGTTATTCTAGACATATTCCTGGACCTATCTTGATAAAAAAATTCAGCATATTATGAAAATTATTCACGTTTATTAGAATGCAAATGTCGCCATTATGTTTAGTTAACGGATTTTCGACGGTGTATGAATTGCCTTTGATGTAGCCAAATACGTCTAAAGTACCTTGTGACAGCAGTTTTTAAGATTTGTTGTTTGAATTAACCACTTTTACATTGACCATAGTATATAATATGACAGAAAAGCATATACGTATTTTTAACGACATAATCATATTTCTTGATATACCATTTCAGATGATATTGACGAACAGCATCCGGGACCAAAAGATTGTTTCGATAAGATTAACAGATTTGGAGATTGTTTATTAGATGATCAGATGCTAGATGAAGATATGTGTAGAGCAGTATTTGGTGATGTAGGTTATCGAAAATTGGTGAGAGAACAAACACGAATAGATGAAAAATTTGAACGAATTTATCAGCGCATTGGAAAACCAAGAGATGGACCTTTTTGGTGAAGTCTTGGATACTTATCCATCTTACACCGAAATTATTTAATTACATCACTAATTACGGTACACCTTCAACAAAAATAGGACTTTTTAATTGTTTATGGAACTATTGACATTTTGGAGTATATATAGGCTTATATTTATAATGAAATAAAGATCACACCGTTCGGGCATAGATATGCTTTTCTTTTCACCCCATTGGATACAATCAGCCCCGTCGTTAGGGTGGGGTCCGTGAGGGCACAATCAAAAATATATATATATATAGGTTTTAATGCGTTTTTGGCAACTCAAAATTGTCAGAAATGAGCTCCCTGTGCCTTTAATTTTTCAGATTTTCTGAATAAAAAATCTTAGCCCCGGCACCATTTCATTCCTGGCGACGGGGATAGATACCATCCATCATCTAAAAAATATAGTCTTTCAGAATTTTCGTTGGTAAAACTAATTCTACTGGTTATTTCAATGTGTAATGAATATTTCGCATACGAACAAAATGCACGAGTTAAAAGGAAAGTCATACATCATAGGTTCAGTTAAGGTAAGGATATCAAATCACATTATTAATCATAGGATAGGGCCTACTCGGCTTGTAGACGACGTCTTCAATTTTTTGGAAATTGTGTTTTATAATCATAGTAGGGTTTTTTGGCCAGCAGAATCCGTTTATCTTGTCTAAAATGAGGTAAGCAGTCTCCATCTATTAGTATTTAAGTATCGACATAGGATGTATCCGATTAACATAAACCAATCCGTCAAACAGGCGTATTTCCGCAAACGGGCGTATCGTCATGTACGCTTTATATAATGACGTCATAGATTCTGACGTCAAACTGCTGAAATGTTCACAGACGGCAATTTTGTCGTAGGAGAAGTTAAGGTGTCTTGCTAAATGCCTAGGCCTACTGACATTCGAAGAAATTACGTCTCAGCTGGAGGTAATATTGCTAATATCCTTAGGCTACATGGTGGGCGCGGATAGCTAGGCTAGTTTATAGTTATTTGCATGCTAACCAGATGGATTCCGAGTTCGAGTACCTGTCGGCTGTCGTGCTATCATAGTAGATTATAATAGGCTGTAGGGTTCCCTGGTCAGTTGATTTTCAATGGAATTCACAAGGAATGGTAACTAGGCTGCATTGCGGATAAAATCAGTAAAACCTGTGAAAATTTGTTGCACACAGTAGACCTACTATCATTCCTATATTATTATAATATCCTATAATAAAAATTTTATTATTATTATTATTATTATTATTATTATTATTATTATTTCTCTTTTACCAGCTGCCGTTATCGTTTCAGACCCACAGATGTCGCAAGACGTTCTTGTGAAATGAGAAGACTAGCTATACAATTTTAAATTTGTACCATAGGACTACTATTTGTGATAAACGTAAGAGGATTGTGGGCAAGACGTTACGAACAAAACTTCACCAGATTGAGATGAGGCTCCTATTTCCAACCAATATTTTCGCACACTTAATATAACCTGTCCCGAAAAGGTGTCGAGCAATTAGACTTTCAACTTCCAACTCTTTATCTCAAATTTTTCTATTCACAGGTAAGATCATAGATTTGGAGTTTCTGATAGCGAAGAAAGCGAGACGTTTGACAGTTCCGACTCCGAGGATGAGAGGCCCTTGGCTCAACTGCGAAAATTATAGGAAGATGACATGCCACTGAGTCGCCTGATGACACGTCCTATACAGAGCTCGATCCCGGTACCGTCAGGCAGCAAAAGTAATTGCCAGAATGAAGCATCTGTATCATGCCTGAATGAGGAATGCACTAGTCTGGATTGTAATGACCATTTCATAGATGATGAAATGGGCCTCAGTCGGAGTTCATCAGTCTTGAGTCGACCGAAAACAGAAATATGATGCAACAAAACTCCCTCCGAAAAATAGTCAAAGAAAATCGAAACCTGGGTAAACCTTATCAATCAGAAAAATCGCGTCGTTTCAAACCTGAAAGGCCCGTAAGAGATAGATGTTTATTCAAGACTTGCGAAAAACGACGACTGTGCTGTACCAGCATCACTGAAGACAGACGGGAAGAAATTTGCACAGATTTCTGGAAGACCCGTGATCTTGCTGCACAACGACATTGGATATCTTCCTATACAAGAGTCAGCGATTGTCCAACAGCAAGAAAAGAAAATCACAGACGCCAGAAAAGTGTACATTATTACCTGCCTAATGAAAATGGTGAGAAGGTGCCCGTATGTCAATCAATGTTTCTGAATACTGTTGGAATTTTGAGAAAGCCGTCAGAACTGTTCATAACAAAATGAATAACTCCGAGGTTTTGCAGAAAGAGGTGCGAGGCGAGTGTGTCAAAACCTTACGGGAAAGGGATGGAATGACAAGAAATGACAGTTGACTCATCTAAAGTTCGAGCAGGTTTTGTACCTTCCCAAAACAAACCGTTGTGAAGTCTTTTATCGCCGTCAACTTATAACTTCACCATATACAACATCAAGAGTAAAGTATGCCATTCATATTTGTGGCATGAAGGACTTGCAAGAAGAGGATCAAATGAAATCTCCTCTTGCCTGTGTGATTTCCTTCGAAATATGGACAAAGGTAATGCTTCTGAAATAGATTTGTTTTGCGACTCTTGTGCTGCCCAAAATAGTAAAATGATCGTTCCTGCGATGATGTTGCAATTCATGAAGGAGGTGTTTTCTGTCAAGAGCTTGATCTGAAACTTTTTTGAGCCACACCACGCTTAAAATGAGGGAGACGCCGTTCACTCATGTGCAGAGAGGGCAGTCAGCCACCATCATGAAATCATAATGCCATCAGAACTGACAGCGATAGTAAGGTGTTGCAGGAGCAACCCTACCATAGCGAAGGAAATTTTTATCGATGAGGTACGAGACTGGAAAAGAATGTCACAGAAGATCGGTCTTCTGAAAGTCCGAACAGCAGAAGACGGTAAGATGGTGGATTGGACCAAGGTTAGGTCTCTGAAAATTACACGAGACATGCCAATGCAGATTGGATTTAAATTATCTCACCTAGATGACCAATACTCTTACCTTTGCCTGGATCAACAAAGGTCACCTGAAAACATTTATTATCCAGGCCCTGCTCATGTTACCCGTCCAAAAGTGTCGATCGCCAAATACCAAGACCTTTTAGCCCTGATGGATAATGATCTACCAATAATTACGCATCCAGACCATCAGTCATTTTACAAAAATTTGCCTCATTAACATATCAGATCGATACGACACGTTGCTTTTAACAACGTTTTAGATTACAATGTTTGGAAGTAGTCAGCTTTTCATTGCTAAATTTTTCAACGTTATTTATTATTTTAATGAATTAATTTCAGAAATGTGTTATGCGTCATATGAATTGTTTTACTTATTGTTAATCTATGAAAGTTACTTACTTACTGGGTGATAAATCAGAATTCACAAATTTTGATATAGTCTTTAATGACACCATTTATTTCAAGCTTGTGATAGAGTTCCATCATGACAGTGAGACGAAATTGGCAGCGCGCGTTTGTAATTCAGAGGCCGATTACTTTGGTCTCAAAAAGACGTATACCGTACAAAAAATGTACTGGTTAAAGCACACAAGTGAGCGTATTGTGTGTGCAGTTTACTCAAAGCGGGCACACAAGTGGGCGTATCTTGGCGTAAAGTACAAATAACGTCATAAGTTTAGGCTTACAAAATGGCGTATCTGTCATCTTTTGTTTTCAAAGCCCGTGGCAGTGAAAATATAAATGTTTTTTGAGAAAAGATTAACTAGAGATAAGCGTATCTCAGATATCAAACACAGAAAAAATCGAAACAATCCGTTAACAATAAGATGTACCAGTTGTAATTTAATAACGATAAAATTTTGAACTTCCGTAAGATGTATACGTTTTGTACGATACATGCCGACGTACTGTTGATTTTGCTCGTTTGTCATCAGAAGAAGTCCTTGTGATTAGCGTCATTTGAAAAAGGGGCACAAACCAATAGCCATAAACATATTCGATCCAATGCATCACTATAAATCGTCCAGTTAACACTATAAATCAATAGTGATCACCATCATTACAAACCTTAAACCAAGTTAACGAAACACGAGTTGTAGCGTCGTAAGTATAAGCACCACTTGTTCAATGTTGCCGCAGTGAGAACAGCAAATATATAATGCAGTCATGTTACGGGAGTCGATAGCCTATACTTGAAATGATATGACCAAACAAATTTCATATCTCAGGGAAGTAACTGGTGCTAAATAATGAGAAGAAATAACATTTATTTCAAAAGTATGTCAATATGGAAACTACTGGCATATCAGCACTGTAAAATTGTTGATATAAATCTTGTGTGTAGGTGTAGGGGAAGTATACCTGTTTATTTTTGTAGCCGTATATGCTCAGAGGACAAATAAAATAAGGGAGAGGTTGGTGCTGTGCTGTTTCTCCTCTCTTCGGGAAATAGGGTTAAACTGACTATTACTTTAGTGGATATGGATGTCAGAAAAATTTCATGAAATGGTCCAACTTGGGCACTCCATACCTCATGTTGGACCACGATTATCCTTGATTGGACCACTGGTCCAATTTCCGTATCCTTGGTACAAAGAAGAGTTTTCAATCATGTATGTTCATCATAGATAGACCCATACAATGCAATGTTTAATTTAGATTAATTTGCACGTTGTAATACATCTATTGCGATTACTATACGAGACTAGACGTGGTAAAATATTAGTATTTGAGGAAGAAAATGTCATATTATGTTTTTAAATGTATAAAGTTGTAAGTAATTATTCTAGTTAATTAAAGATGCACCGCATTTCGGATTTTCTGATAAGAAATTATATGAAGTCAAGTTTTATCAGCTGGTATAATTATATTCATATAAATTCATTCATTCAATTAACAATAAATCAACGAAAAAAACAATAAAGTCCTTAAAACCAAATCTAGTTAACATTAATTAGTCACAAAACTCACACTTGAAATTTGGAGGTATACCACCGGCACAGGTTTCGTGAATATAAGTACCACATAGAACACATGTTACCATGGTCTCATTCCTATCTGCGTCGCATATAAGGCAATACCAGGGTCACTATAAGAGTCGTCTTGAACATCCATGCATTCGGTGGGTAAAGGCTTGGAAGTTGCACGTTTTCTTTTAACTTGTGGTTTTCTTGAAGGAGATTTGGTTTTATATGTAGATTTTGTTTTGGTTGTTTTCACCTTGGACTCTAGTAAAGTGCTCTTATACAGACTTGATGTATTGACCTCTGATTTCGATACCTTTCTATTTGACTTTGGTTTTGTCACTTTTGAGATTGGCGATATCATCGCAGGTGTAACGTAGTTAAGAGAGTATTAAGAGCTCTCATCTGTAGAACGCAAGACTATGGCATCATAATGGCCAACATCTTTCGTGAGTTGGTTATAAGAATAAGATATGCAAATAACATTCTTGTCGACAGTGAAATCTTCTCCAAACTTCAGTATGCTTTCGCCGACATACACATGTATCTGTTTCTGGAGACATCTTACAGTGGCACGAATTTCTAACTCACCGATCCCTCACTTGGATTAAAATACAATTGTATCATGGATTGAATTATATGAAATAGACCTACCAGTTGGAAGATCTGCATTTACAGAAGTTTTGTCTACATTTTGATAAAGATGAAAATTATACAACATATGTCCTATGACTTGCGCTCGTAAATTATCTGCAGCATTCATTTCACTAATTCGCAGTTTAATATCTGTGACAGTTCCATTGCTATCTCTAGGTTGGCTCTGGAGTTCTTGATTGAGATGAATAGCAACAGATCTGAAAAACATCTGCCATCTGGGTTAGTTTGAATTGATTTCATAGAAGGTAGAAATTTGGCACCATTGGACTTGAAATCGGGGCTGTCTTGTGGCACATTTGAAGGTGAAGTTGTTGCTGATGGTAAATCATCTACTTCAACTTCAACTATTCTTGTTCATGTTCAGGTTCAATGTTACCCGATTTCTCCAGTAGATGTATGTTTCCTCCATCATTCACGACATTATCATCCGATTCCGTATAGACAAATCTCTCCGCGGCAGCAAAGTCTCCGTTACTCCACACATTTGGATTGAATGTCCAAATTCCACAGCATTTGAATCCATTTATAGCAGTAGACAAAGATGCAGCCCAGATATATGCTTTATCAATTATGCGACAAACAGCGTACACAGATACTGAGGTTTTTTTTTTAGTTCGAAGCCAATGATCCATTTCCTGGTTGTAGTAGGTCATAAGTGGCTTATAAAACACCCTATCCAAAGGTTGAAGTCTGTGAGTAGTACGAGGTGGTAATGATAAAATTATAACGCTTTGTTTTCTAGCATATTCTATGGCTTCGATTTTTTTAGTGTGGATGGAGTGTCTATCCAAAATCAGAAGGCAAGGTCTTTCTTTGGAACATCTTTTGAAAGACACAAAATGATACAGCCATTTAACGAAAAACTCTTTGGTCATATACCCAGTTTCGTTATTTGTAACCAAACTCCCCATTGGTGCACCAGACTTAAGAATTTCGATCATCCTTTTCCTTTTGAAAATGAACATGGTTGGATAAACGTCCCATTTGCCCCCATGCAACAGACTACGGTCGTTGTCAAACCGCGTTCGCCGCTTGTTAATGACCCAACCTGGTTTTTGCTTCTTTTTTTTGAGCAATTACCTTACCCGGCTTTTATACAGTTTGAGTACCCGATTCATCCATATTCATAATGTCATCCGCAGTAAGTTCATGTTTATCAATCAAATCTTGCAGTTTTAGATACAATTCCATAACGTTTTCTTTGTTAAAGCATCTAGCTCTGGCTATGGATGTTGCCTCAGCTTGTCGTAAGCTTAACTACGCATGCCTCTTCATAAAATCCTTGTACCAATGGATACTTGCCGATTTCTTGTAGGCCATTCCCATCAGGTCCTTTCTCGTCATACCTATCAGCATACTTTCTAAGGACATGACATGCTCTACAAACATACCTTCCAATTCTTCAGGTAATGTGGTTGGTCTGCCGAAAACTTTTACAGGCCCATTTGCGTATTTGTTGGTGGAATCCAAGTGCCGCTTAAGAGTTGCCTTCGGTACTCCATAATGTTTGACAGTGGCGTTCAAACCAGCGTAAAGATGTTATTGCCCGATATAAATCTTCTTCTGACCATAGTTCGTATGCCGATCTTGAGTGATGTTTTGGTATTTCTCTGAAAAAAATAAGAAGTTGAATGATAGATACGGCGGTTAGATATAAATATGTTAGCATGTACTGATATTGGACCACAAATCCCCATATTGACCACTGATCCAATTTATGAAATCTTGAGTGGTCCAAATTCGGGCAATCGAGGTTTTACATTCATGGAGTTATTTCTCTTGAACGCGCGAAATTTGCCTTAAATCGACACACTTACATACGAGAAGAAAACCACCCGAACAACATATGTATGGATAATATGTGGATTGCTAAACAGACATATAAACATCACACCAACAAAGGAGCTAAAAAATTATAAAAAAAAGAGAGTAAAAATTGGTTCAACTCACTGTTGTAACCTTGCGGGAACTGAACTAGGTCAGAGCAAACGTCATGCATCACGTGACCGTGTCGCACCAATTATGTTCGGAGATAAAGGGCTGGTCCAATTAAAGATAGGTCCAATATAGGTATAATTCCCCTAATATAATCTTAAAATAACGAGACTTGAACGTGATAACGACGACCGTTTAGTTTAGAAGTCAAATACTAATAAAAAACATTTATACATATATACGATAACATAAGCTAGCGATTTAGAAATAATTCTGCTTATGAAAGAAAGAAAATGAACAAAATGAAAAATATAAAATCCCCTTTGTTTCATAGTTTATAGCCATTGTTGTGTTAGATAAATATATCTAGGGCTGATCGTTAAGCGTGCACATTGCATTTAAGGACAATATTAGCATGAACATTGTAAAGGTTTACAAAATTTATATGGTCGACCAGTCACCCTGCCATTCGTCTGTGTTTAATTTAATAAGCTAAGTCTAAAACTTCTGGTGGTACTGAGAGGAAGGGTTGATGAAAAACAAACATTGAGCACCTATTTGTTGGCGTAAAACCCAATTCAAACAGTACTCAAGATAAATTATGACAGACAAGGATTAGTTATCGACTTTAACCAATTATCATCTCATTAGACTTCCGTGCATTTTATTGGCAATTATTGATGAGTTAAATTACTTCAAGGATTAGTAAGAAAAGACAATAACAGACAGACCATTAGCCAAGGAAGGAAACTTGATAAAAGGTACGCAAATGTAGGACTGATAATAGAAATTATCTTTATATAACAATTTATATTTGATATGAACTTGCACTAACGTGGACTTTAATAAGCTCACCAAAAAGGCTATGGGCCTACACACCCTCACACACCTCACTTAAACAAATATCTATAAGGTTCATCTTCAATATGCTATAAGTATTTTAGGAGCAGCCCACCCTGAAATTCAAATTCGCTTCTAGTTTCATATTATACACCGATAGAATTCTGGTTTCCGACCATGACTTTTGTTTACCTGATTGGGCTATGAAGATGGCAGATAATAACAACAACTTGTCAAAACTATTCACAACTGAGATATCATCAATATAACATACCAAGTTTCATCATGATCTGTAGCTTCTATCGTGTCTTTTGGCTCTACATTTGTTTTAATTTAAGAGCTATAGATAAAAATAACTTACACACTAACCTGAAGCTGTCAATTTGTTTACATCTTACTTGGTAAATGGCATCACAAAAAAAGTTCATCTATATATTGCTATAAATGGGTCATACGAACGGACATAGGCACATATCTATGTGGGCATGTAAAAATATGAGGGAAATATTTTGGTGTACTCCTAAAACCAGCTAATTCAATCGACTGCCTTCTGTTTGAATAGCAATATGTATACAGTTGATAGGTTCTAAAACGTCTTATAATGTCTGGAAAACTGCGAAGTGTGGGCTTCTAAAATAATACAGAATATTCGAGATCGTCACACTCGTCAACCAATACTCCGAAACTATTTGTGGGAGCCGTACAGAAACCCCAAAAATTTGAAAGTGCTGGGGTGGGGGAAATTCAATGCCGCGCCAGCCTCTTTTCTGTGGGGGCCTCCCCGCCGTAGAAATGCCACTGCATAAAACTTGTATAAAGTATTTCGTTTTCCAAACCGCATTCGGAAGTAGGCTCATCTGGACGTGGTCAATTATCTTTATTTCTTCAAATCAGTCTACTTTCTTAACTAAAAAGTTAAATATATAGCTTGTTTTATAGGTTTTCAATAACTATAATTAAATCACTATGGTTTGATATTTAATAACTACTCATGATCATCATAATTTCATTCTTGTTTGTTTTTAAAGAATATTCTTAGATTGTCCTTGGGTTGATCATAATTAGGGTACCTTAAACGTGTGCTTATGTAATATGAAATTTATGAAATGAGTTGCCAGCTTTAATTTTCGCCAAGCTCTAAAAAATATTAAATCTGGCAAATCAATTTATTAATTTAATATTACATGAGCACTTAACATTGCAGTCAAATTTGAAATAATGTTTTAAGTTTTTACTGATTTTGATCGTTAAAGTTAAAACAGACAAAATCTACAGGAAAATGGAAATGCTGATTTTATGCCCATTTTCACCTTCTCACTGAAGCAATCTGTCTACATTGTTTCAAATTATGTGTATTTTACTGCGCACAAGGGTCAATGGCATCATTTAAGCTGTAGGAACTGAAATAAGCACGAGTTTTCCTCTTCCAGCACCCCACCCTATAGGAGAAACAAGTATAGGCTAAGTATCAAGAACACATGGATTCACAGCGGAAAATACTGCTAGGTATCAAGAATCTGGAAAGATTCCACCAAACCTAAAAAGACAGAACTCCGTCTAGATAAAAGTTTTATTTCCTTTGAAAAGTATGATACTACAGATATGGACTTGGATTTCCTGATAGAAATTTTGTTGTCTTCTATGACGTCCAACTTATGAACTGTTCTGAAGACTTTTTATGTATAACCTTTATATTATTTACATATTCGAATTTCCCCCCTCCCTGGTAGAAACGTCACTGTGCATGACTAGTAATATAATATCAAATGTGCTTTAGTTTCCTGGTATCGAACTTTAATCAAATTGCTCCTTTAATAAGAAATATATCTTGTACACGAATGTTTCCTCCCACTGGAAGTAGATGTCACTCCAAACGTCCATTTCCAACAAGCTTCAATTTCTTTATCGATTATAATATATCATATAAATTTATTTACAAAAATATTTTCTGTCACTCCACCTTTCAAAATGTTTTCATTAGCAAGACATATTCTCAGCTATACCATTTTGATATGCACAATTTACAATGATGTAGTAACCACGCAACTGCTGTTTCACAAGTACAAAATTTTGTATTCAAGAAAAGTTGATAATGCTAAAACAACAGTGTCATATGAAGGAGTTCGAGATAGTGGTGCCAATACAGTCAGAATTCGAAACATAGAAGTTGAAATGCCTTTCAAACAGGAAACTAGCAGTTTTGCCGAAATCTCTGAAGGTGGATATGGCGAAGATGAAATAATACAAAGACCAAAGCGTGACACGAAAAAAACGAATACAACAGAACGTGTTATTTCGGCTGTAGATAGTAACAGTCTGAAATTTGTTGATGGTGATGAACAAGATATTAACCAAACTATCGTGAACTCTAATATTTCTCTTCGTATCAACTCAACTGATCCAGAAACATACACACCAGCAGCTAAATCAGGAATGGTATCTGTAATTAATACAGGACTAATCTCAAAAACAACTTACGACAAATTGGAGAGAACGGTGAGATACATGACCTATGTAACACAAATAATTGCAGTTGTTTTAGTCTGTTTTAACATTATTGTGTTTTCAAGACACACCATGAGGAGTCCCACTAGTTCATACCTCATTGCTGTTAACATATCTCAGATATTCACTATCGTAAGTGGCTCCTTTTTAACTATTGCAGGATTTATATTTGGGGACAAAGCTTTTTTCAGTTATAACTATTTATTTATTGGTCTCTATATTTCCAATTATTTTACTGTGGCAACTCGAAGATGTACGTTTGTTCTCACATGCTTAGTTGCGGCCGAAAGATTTCTAGCTGTCGCCTTTCCACTGAAATCTAAACACTTTAAATTGGTAAGAAAACCTATATTGTTTATTGTAACAATCGCTGTACTGTCGTTTATCTTTCATATATTTAGCGTGTTAAAGTATGACATAATCCCATTTCAAGTCGGCATCAGTAATGAAACATTTTGGAAATTTCAGTTTACGAAAAGATTTCTAGAAAATAAAGCAAACATGGAATCTTGGAGTATTGCCAGTAAAATAATTTTTGTTTATATTCAATTAATTGGATGTTTAATTTTAAATATTGGAATTGTTATTGCTCTTAAACGTCATAGAATGAATAGACTTAGATTGAATTCATCAGAGGATGTTTCTAAAGTAGCTCAAGAAAAACAAACAACCGTCACAATACTGGTATCAACTTTTGTTTTTGTTTTGTTGGCTTTACCAGTGAATACAAGTTCTGTTGTAGCCAATCTAAATCGTATTAATTATGGTATTAATACTAAGAATCACTATTTATTTTATTTTCTAATGCATATTGGTGGATGGTTCGAATTACTCAGCGACTGCACTAATTTTATGTTTTACATTGCCTTGAGTTCTCGATTCAGGAAGACGTTTGCTCAGGTAATTTGTCGATGTTTCAGCACACCGTTAGAACGAACAGAATCTATCGACTATAATTCTACACGAACGTGTCAATACGGTCTATCAGTAGTGAGTCAAAGTTCACACTGACACTATGGGAATAGTGTCATATCAGATAAGTAGAAAGTAGTCCTATATGGTTGGTAAAAATTATTCCCCTGTTCATTGATTAAATTTTTAGAAGAATATGTTCTGAAGTTAGTACAAAGCTTTTCATATTTCCACCGATTTACTGATCTTGTTTCCGGCTGTTTAAGGATTTCAAAATCGCTAAAGGGACAGATGCGCCATTTTTGGGTTGATTTGGGTCTTGAACATAAATATGTAAATAGTCTCAAAATTATCTCAAACTAAACATTTCACTTTTTTTCTTTATATGTCTTTACCAAATATGACAGGGTCTCAAGAAATGATTAGTAGTCATTTTAACAATTCGACGCGGATAATTCTTGACACATATGCATTTGAAGGCTAAATATGAACACTATTACTGGTAATAAATTCTCGTTTCTAAGACTAGATTAAAAATTGGTCAAACGTATGTTCCTTTAAGGCAGAGGTTTTCAATCTATGTATTTCTATTCAGACTCCTTGAAAGATTCTTTTACCCCCGTCCCCGTATGAATCCTTACTATTTCCTTATTTTCTCTTAGTTGTTCCCTGAAATTGTTTCCATGTCGGAGAATATAGCCTGGTTGAATAGAACCACTTGAAGTATAATTGGACGATAAATTTTATGCTAGACTACACAGTAACCCTCCAAAATTTCAAAATTACGTTCTGAGAGTAATTACCCCGTTTGAAAACCCATGGCTCAAGTAATATCTAGTATAATGACTGTAAGTGTCTTTCTTGAAGAATCAGGTATTTTGTTCTCGAATCCATCTCAGTTACTTGTCTTGCAATATAATGTTTCTTTCTTTCACGTACAAGTATTGTTTATTTACTGATTTATTTAGTTGTTATTATTTGTGATGTACTGTTATTGTTGTTGAATAAAATGTATTAAGTAATAAGTTCAGATCCTTTAGTCCCTCTAGTCTTCAGGCAATTGGCACCTGTGAATGCCGTCATTATGGAAAAAAAACTTGACTAAGTTGATACCACCTGAAAATTGTCATTCTTTTAAAATTAATTTAACATTATTAAGTTAATCATCGCTTTGAAATGAAAAGTCCTTTTGCTTCGGAACTTCTATGAGTTTTTCATGTACATGTATTCTCATTTCACCTTGAAGTGATTGTAAAGAGGTTTTCTGACAGTCATAGTATCAATTTGCACCACTCCTATTTTCAATCAGACGTCTGTTGTTACTGCAATTCCACTCAAACTAAGTGTTTGCTGACGTCACTAATCGCAAAATATAAGCTTTATCACATAAGGCTCTTCACGATTAGTGAGGTTATCAAACACTTAGTTTTAGTGGAATTGTAGGAACCACAGAAATCTGAAATGCTGCAAATTGATGCTATTTTTTTTTTTTTTTTTTTATCTTGTAAATATTTATCCACTATAAATAATACAGTACAATACATATTATAATACAAAAAGGTCTCCATATTGGAGATAAAACAGTAAAGACTAAATAAAAATTTAAATAATGTTACTGTAAGGCTTCAGATTGTGAACACTAGCTATGACATTTTCGTATGAAGTTTACCTTAGAATAAAAAATTAAGAATTTGGAAAAATGTAAAGATCCATAGGGATATTTGTATAAAAATAGTAGTAATAACTAGGGCGTCGTCTGCTAGTGTTGACTCAACATATAAAGGAATGTATACTACTGTTTTAGGCTACAGAGATTAGTCCATACTGATGAGTTATGATGGGTATTATAAAAGCATTTAAAATATATATATATAAGGTATATTTACATTAAAAAAGAAAGATTATGAAAATTCAATATCGATTGAATTATCAAGTGTGATATTTATAAAACATGAGGGTAAAATAAACTTTTGAATGAAAACATGCCTAGGATAAAACTGTTTTAAATAAATTAATGCGTTAGCTAAAATACCTTTATATAAAATGACAAGAACTATATGACAAAATTAATGCTAATAGTGTCCTCGATACACATTAAAATTTAGAA